GATTCTACCCTCTTTTTTCCTTTTTCCCTCCACTGCTTTCTTTCTTTTTTTAAAGAAAATTTTTAAATTATCCAAAAATCTTTATCCCTTTGACACTTTATTTTCAGCTAGAAATAGCCTATTAATGTCAAAGTGGATTAGTATCCATTTCTTATTCAAATCTCTTCTTCTTAACATTCCAAGTCAATTAAAACTGTCAATGTGAGAGGGAAAAAAGCCAATTCCGTTTCCTTTCCCTTTTTCTTTCACCGCTTAAAATCTTTTTTAGGAATAGTATTAGTCTTTAAAATTCAGGTTCCAGGTACCTTAAATAGATGTTCTCCATTCAACCCGGTCAATCAAACTTTCTCCTTTAAACTTCCTCCTGCACAATCTTGTCCGGTCGGGTTCTTCTTTGAGGTGGCCATTTCTGACCACCACTGCAACCGCCTTTGGGAAAGGGAGTAATGGCCAGCCGAGGAGGAGAGATGCAGTTCTCCTCAACCCCGCTGACAGTTCCCCCTTCTTCACCACTTCTACGGGGTGGCTTCAGCCCCGAATCCAGGTGGCTCGGGGTGCTCCAGCGGAAAGCATGGATCAAAACTGCGCACAATCGTGATTTCAGTCCATCGCCAAAGAAGCCCAAACCAGAAGTCCATTAAAAGGGCTTTTGATGGAATCTGTCATATTTGGAAGGATAGAATGAAGCTTGTTTGAAAAATGTGGATAGTCAAATATTTTAATGATATTCTATGTCAGATAAGATAAGATAAGATAAATTTATTGTCATTGTACTCAGAACCTGAGAACAACGAAATAAGGTGCTCTTTCACAACATACAACTGAACAACACCAAAAGACATATACAAATAACAATGTAAAACAAATTGAAACAATTAACAGTTAAAAACTATACAACCAGGATATATATATGTTAAGACCACCAGATTCATAACTCTGCATTTAACCTGATCACAGCACTTGGGTAAAAGCTATGTTTAAATCTACTTGTCTTGGCTTTCAGCACTCTATATCGTCTTCCTGATGGTAGGATCTCAAACAACGAGTGGCCTGGATGTGAAGGGTCTCTCAAGATCTTTTGTATCTTCCTTCTACATCCCATGTTGTACAAATCCTCCAATGAGGGAAGAGAACATCCGCTGATCTTTTGTGCCCTTTTTATCACTCTTTGGAGTGCCCTTTTCTCCGCCTCTGTACAACTCCTAAACCACACACAGAGGCAATAGGATAAAATGCTCTCTATAGGGCTTCGATAAAAGGCAACCAACAGACTCTCTGGCAGTTGTTGTGATCTTAAAAGTCTTAAAAAATACAATCATTGATGAGCCTTTTTTTCTAGGGCTAAAGTATTTGCCCCCCATGTTAGATCCTGTTTCAGGGTGATACCTAGAAACTTACATTCTGCCACCTGTTCTACCAAAACACCATCGATGTACAACGGCTGGATATCCGAACTGCTCTTCCTGTAATCCACTATGAATTCCTTCGTCTTATTTATATTAAAAATAAGATTGTTTACTTTGCACCAGAGGGACAACTGATGAACCTCATCCCTGTACGCAGACTCATCATTATCAGAAATGAGCCCCACCAACGTTGTATCATCTGCAAACTTAATGATCTTATTACTCAGATGAATGGAGGTGCAATCAGACGTATAAATAGTGAATAAAAGTGGACTCAATACACAGCCCTGAGGAGTGCCAGTATTGAGGATCTTCGCAGAAGAGATATGTTCATTCATCCTAACCCTTTGTGAACGATGTGATAAAAAATTCAGAATCCACCAACATATAGAGTCCAGTAGCTTCAGATATTTAAGCTTAGACATCAATCTGTGGGGTAATATTGTGTTGAAAGCAGAACTAAAATCAACAAATAATATTCTGACATACATTCCTTTTTTCTCCAAATGAGATAGGGCAGTATGAAGAACAGTATTGACAGCATCCTCAGTAGATCTGTTTGTTCTATAAGCAAACTGATAATTATCAAAGGTAGCAGGAAGGCAAGAAATAATGAACAAGAACATGTGTAATGAACTTGTGTAATGAACAAGAACATGCATTCAATTTCATAGCTATTACGATTGTTGGCTGAACAGGGACAAAAATAGCCAGAGAAATGATTGAAGCCTGGGAAAGAAGCTCGTTTGTCAGTCAATAGGAACCCTGATTTACCACCCACCCTATCAGGTACTTAGGATCTGAGTGTGTGGGCAGCACAAGAAACAATTAATGACTTAATAGCAATCATCAACACCTTAATTAATAATTAAAAGCTACACACAACCAGGAACCATATGTAGAACAAACCAGTGCAAACATTCTGGAGAGGGTGAAGTTCTTTGACGATGGGATTCCAGCACGAGATCAAAAGCTTGGAAGAATAAACTTTTAATCCCAGTGACCAACTCAGACTAGATCCATCACCTCTTCAGGTTATTATTTCATCTCTCAGTCTTAGCCCAAAAGCCCATCACCATTTTGGTGGATAACACTACTCTTAAATGTGTGATGCTCACTATCCTAAAATAACTTCAGGCTTACGTTTCCAGCAGGGGAAGAAATCTCTGTTGATCTGTGAGAAGAAGGAGGAGAGAACATAATTACTTTCAGCATGTCCACTTTTGTCTCTTTATCTGCTCCATCTGCTGACCTACCAGCCTTACGTTTACTTTCAGAGTGGTCTGCAACAGAGTTTCCATGGTCAAAAAGAACCTGAACTTGGCATGCACAAGGGTGTGAGTCAAGCTCAAAGCACATTTATGCTGTTGCAACCATTATGGCTTTTCAACTTGCCAAAGGACTAGAGGGGAGGGAAGGGTGAGAAAGGAATGCAGGCTCCAGACTTCAAGGAAGAGAGCTGTGAGAGCCAAGGACACATCTGCAGGTGTCCGCCAAAGACCAGAGACTTTTTCTCATAACAGTACAATGACACTCAATTGGACAATGTGACCTGCACTAATCAGGGGGAAGGGGGGATTGTATATTGTAACGATGTGGGTTTGTGTGGGAATTAGGCAGAGCTGGTTTTGCCTTCAATGGTGCCAAAAGAATGTACTCGATAAAACATTGGCCGGTCTAGAGTGTGCTTGCTTTTAGTTAGGTTCATCAGTCAGGACGTTGACATTGTGACTGAAATTGACTTTTGAGGAGACCCCAAGGCCACTTCCTTCAGCTGGGGTCTTTAGAGCAAGAAGGTTTAATACCAGAGGTGGCATTCAGCAGGTTCCGACCAGTTCTGGAGAACCGGTAGAGGAAATTTTGAGTAGTTCGGAGAACCAGCAAATACCACCTCTGACTGGAGATTTTACAGTATCCTTCTCCAGCCACGCCCACTAAGCCACGCCCAGAGAACCGGTAGTAAAAAAAATTTGAATCCCACCACTGTTTAGTACCTGCAAGATCCCGCTTTCAGAGTGACGGCCAGGTGTTCCTCTTTGATGGCAAAACTGGCATTGCATTCCTGCACCTACAGTTGAAACACAGAAAGAAGATAGAGATGGTGGACTATGGTGGAATTGCTGGTTCAAGGAGAGGGGGAAGTAAATAGAAGATAGATTCCAGCATGGAATCGCTCCATGGGGAAGACATCCTAGACTAGACCAGAACAGAACAGAACAGAATAGAACAGAATAGAACATAGAATAGGAATAAAAAAGAATAGAACAGAATATGAAATAATTAATAGAAATAGAATAAAAATAGATAGAAGGGAAGGAAAGCCAAGAGAAGAGAAGAGGAGAGGAGAGGAGAGGAGAGGAGAGGAGAGGAGAGAAGAGAAGAGAAGAGAAGAGAAGAGAAGAGAAGAGAAGAGAAG